ACAGTCCCGTTTTTGTGATTAGGAAAAAATCTGGGAAGTGGAGATTGTTGCAGGATCTCCGCAAGATCAATGCAGTCATGGAAAGCATGGGGGCACTGCAGCCTGGCATGCCATCACCTACCATGCTTCCCATGGGGTGGAAAATCCTGATCCTTGATTTAAAAGATTGTTTTTTTACTATTCCATTGCATTCTGAGGACAAATGCAAGTTTGCTTTCACAGTACCTACGATCAACAACGCTGAACCCGTGCAGAGGTATCAATGGAAAGTTTTGCCACAGGGCTGCAAGAACAGCCCGACTATTTGTCAGTGGTATGTAGCTCAGGCCTTATCTGGAGTCCGTGAGCAGTTCCCTGACGCTTATTGTTATCATTACATGGATGACATCCTGGTGGCAGCATCCACCCAGGATGAACTGCTGAGGATACAGCCCCAGCTGTTCGGAGCTCTGCGTTCTTATGGCCTGCAAGTAGCTCCGGAAAAGGTTCAGCAGCATCCTCCTTGGAAATATCTAGGAGTCAAAATCTTAGATCGAACCATTTGCCATCAAGAGGTGCAATTCGTGAATTCTATCAAAACTCTGAATGATGCCCAAAAATTGATGGGTATCATCACATGGTTGCGTCCTTACTTGGGACTAACCACAGCACAATTGTCCCCATTGTTCAATCTTTTAAAGGGGGACCCTGATCTGAATTCCCCTCGGGAGCTGACTCCTGAAGCGCAGCAAGCGCTGGAGGATGTTCAACAGGCTGTTTCTGCTCGGCAGGTTTACCGGGTGGATCCATCCATTGATATCACTGTTTTTATTACTTGTCCAGAGTCTCATCCTACAGGTATCATTGGCCAATGGAGTGAACAATGGGCTGATCCGTTGCACATTTTGGAATGGATCTTTTTGCCCCATCAACCAAAAAAGACGGCTCCCACATTATTTGAATTGGTTGCTCAATTGATAATTAAATGCCGTCAGCGGTGTTTGCAGTTAATGGCAGCTGACCCTGAGAAAATTATCCTCCCGATCCGGCGGGAGGAATTTGAATGGAGTCTGACCAACAGTGCCTCTTTACAGAGTGCGCTGGAAAACTTTTCAGGGCAGATTGCCTATCATCTGCCCAGCCACAAATTGCTGCAATTAGCAGGGTCAGCTGAATTGTCCTTTCGGCAAAAAAGTAGTCGGGTGCCAGTGCAAGGACCCACCGTCTTCACTGACGGTTCGGGAAAAACGGGGAAAGCCATTGTTACATGGAAGGATGAGTCTGAGTGGCAAGTGCTGGAAGGCCATGAGACAGGCTCAGCCCAGCTAGTCGAACTAAGGGCCGCTACCATGGCATTCCAGCGGTTTTCTCAGGTACCGCTGAATTTAGTTACTGATTCTGCTTATGTAGCAGATCTCGCTAAGCGTTTAGATTGTGTGCTCCTGAAAGAAGTTGATAATGAGCATCTATTTCAGCTGCTGAAGTCTTTGTGGTGTGTAATCCAAGCTCGAGTTCACCCATATTACATTCTGCATATTCGGAGTCATACCAATCTACCAGGTTTCATAGCAGAAGGTAATGCCAGGGCTGATAGGTTGGCTAACCCTGCTTGGGTAGCGCCTCAGCCTGACAAAATTGCACAAGCCAAGGCATCGCATGATTTTTTCCACCAAAGTGCACATACTTTGCAAAAACAGTTTCACTTAACACCGACCGAAGCGCGTGACATTGTCAGTTCTTGTGCTGACTGTCATGGGCTCGCAGCACCTCTGCCAGCGGGGGTGAACCCCAGAGGGTTGAAAGCCCTGCAGCTTTGGCAGACAGATGTCACTCACATTGCTGAATTTGGCAGACTTAAGTATGTGCATGTGTCTGTTGACACCTTTTCATCTGCTATGTGGGCATCTGCTCACACCGGGGAAAAGGGTCGTGATGTTATTGCCCATTGGAAAATCGCATTTGCAGTCTTGGGCATACCTTCTTCTGTGAAAACTGACAATGGTCCTGCCTACACCTCACAAAAGACACGACGATTTTTACAGTTATGGGGAGTTTCACATGCATTTGGTATTCCACATTCTCCCACTGGGCAGGCTATTGTCGAACGCGCTCATGGTACCTTAAAACGTGTTCTAGAAAAACAAAAAACGGGGATGGTTGGAGAAACTCCACACAGCCGACTGGAGAAAGCCTTGTACACAATTAATCACCTCACAGTGAAAAAGAATTCAGATAACCCTGTCATCTTGAATCATTTTCTTTCATTGCAGTCTTCAGGCGAGGTGCACCTGCCTCGAGCGAAAGTTTGGGTGAGAGACCTGACCACCAACAAGTGGCAAGGCCCGTGCGAGCTCATCGCTTGGGGTCGTGGGTATGCATGCGTCTCCACGGACACTGGAGTACGGTGGATACCTGCAAGGTGTGTTCGCCCTGATCTGCAGCATCAAAAGCAGAAAGCAGTCAACAGGCGACCGTCAGATGATGACCAGGATACCGATCATCATTCAGATGGTCCTTCTACAAGCAGAGACTAAATATTCTTACCTGTCGACAAGTTAAACTGTCAGTTTGAACAAATTAACAATGTTATTTGTTGTGTGAGAGTGTGTGTTGGTTTACTGAATTAGAGACATTGGAGTCAACCATCGAATCCCTGCAAAGAAAACAATTCTTAAATACCAAAACATAAGCCAAAATTCTAGATTAATTCTAGATTAGCATCCATTCAAAGTTCTAGCAAAGAACCCTCTTGTGCTGTGTTTGTTCTCCCTCCTGCAAGGGCCCAGCAGGACGTGACAAACACTGCCCTTTTATTTTTTTTTAACAAAAAGGGTGAATTATGGATGCTAAATCTGAACCACAGTGCCTGTACAAATTACAGGCCGCCTGGCCCCTCGGGCTTCCTGAGAAAATAGCCTGGGAAAAATATGAGAAGGAATTAAAACAATTCTCAGGGACACTAAACAGCCTTGCAGGTGTTGTTTTGCAGTTTTGTTTTCACTTGCAGGAGAAGGCCAGGGGGGTGATGGGCCCCCCTGACCAATGACGGTGATGTAGCACTTTGTTAACCAATAGGAGTTTCTTTTCTGTACCTTTCACGTACCAGTCTATAAAACAGGCCTGAAGTAATAAACCAGAGAATTCTCGTGTTGAAACTCCCTTGAGAGTTTGTGTCGTTCTTTCTAGCCGTTCCCAATCGGAACGACAGTCTTCCTTGCCAATTCTCGTGATGAATTGGTAAAGAAGCTGTAGGACAAGGGCAGGAAGGCAGGGAAGTTGCATGGAGTGCTACAAGTTTGAGCAAGCTGAAAAATGTCATTTGGGGTCATCCCAGATTGATTTCATTTCAGAAGTTATGGAAGAAGTTTAATTTTGGGAGGTGTCATGTATTCCCTTGGAAGTGGACACTCTGCAGACTTGAGCTGCATTGCCAAAATGCTCAAGTCTCTGCTGCAGGTCACACCATTTCTTCTTTGGCTGATCCTGGCCCGGTGCTGAGCCCAGCAGAGCCCTGGCAGAGCCCAGAGCAGCCTTAGCATCCGCAGAGCCCAGCTGCAAGGAGAGAAACCAGAAACCGTCTGTCAGCTGAAGGCTCCTGTCCCCTTGTCCCAGCCACCTGCGGTGCCCAGGCCATGCTGGCCGTGCTCAGAGCTGGGCCCAAAGCTGCCCATCACTGCTGCCTTTGGGAGCAGAGCAGGAGGGCAGGACATGTGCCCAGCCTGCAGCCAGCCACAGCAGATCCAACCCCTCAGCAGCTGCCCAGAGCGGGATGCTCCTGTGCCTGCTGCCATCTCCCAAAAGCTCTTGTCCCACCCATGCCAAGGAGATGAGGACCCACCTCACGCCATCTGCTGCCAGAAGAAAAGCTGGTCCCAAACAATGTCCTCAGCCTTCTCCAAGGGCACGGCCCATCCACACCACAGCTGGTCCCAAGCACTTCCCAATCCAGACTGGATCCCACCTAGAACACTTCCTTTAGAAAAACAAACAAGAAATTAATGAAAATAGGATACAGACAAAAAGGGGAAACAAGAAAAATGGTAAAATATCTTATGTCTGTCAGGAGCTTGAGGAAGGCCCAACCCCTACATTCTAGGGAAAAACCCACCCATGGGTGAGGGAAGCCCATGCTTTCTCCCTTCCCCCCTGCACTGTCCCCCAAAATCATGGTGATCCCAAAACAAAGGAGGGGAGTGGAGCAGCCCAAGCCCTTCCTTGAGAGCACAGCAAAGCAGCCGTGCTCAGGTTCTGGAGTCCCACCTGTGCTCCTGCCATGGGGGTTTGTTTGTGTCGGGCTGGCTGCCCCAGCCCCAGCCCAGGGCACGGTGGGTGGTGGGGGCTGTTGGCAGGGCCAGCATCCCACTCCCATTTTGTAACCACCCCAGCCCACGCCCCCAGCCCTGCCAAAAACCATCAGGGCAGCCACAGAAGAATCAGTTGCATCCACCTCAGCAAAAAGGAAACCTTTGATTCCCGGCCAAGGCACAAATCTGGGAACATCCCCCTGGGTCTGAAATGAACTGAAAATTCTCTGTGGAGCCTGGCTTTGAAGAAGGTGACAGAATCAAAGTCCATCATCACCAGCTCCCACTGGCCAGGTGGAGGAAGAGGTTGTCATTCTTGCTGTTGTCCTCCATGTCTCCAGAAGCAGCAGCAGCAGCCCCACCTGGTACAGCTTCTCCAGGGGCTCCTTCTTCCCTGGGGTGACACCAGGCTGTCAGGGATCTGCCCAGGGCCCAGCTGTCAGTGAACCAGGACTAGCAAAACTAGCTCAAATGGCAACCACCAGTGCTGGGCAGAGCAGCTCAGATCCAGCACAAGGGCTGTGTGTTCCCATTCGATGATCCCTGTGCAGTGACACAGGCAGGACAAAAAAGTCTGGGTTTCTTTGCTGCTGATTGCCAGGGTATGTGTGGAGCTGTAACTTACCAGGTCCCTGCATCACTGTGCCTGTGGCTCTCTCCCTTCTTCTAGGGCAGATGAATATCCTGCATCCAGGGATCACAGAACAGGTCTTCTAATGAGGGCCTGTCCAAGGAGTGCAGGGATAAACACCACCTGATCAGAGCAGATCTGGGGAGAGAAACCACAAACCACTGGTCAGTTGGAGAAGGCTCCTGTCTGCTTTGCCCCACTATTCCCATGTCCAGGCCATGCTGGATGTGCTCAGAGCTGGGGCTAAATTTTCCCATCAATTCTTTGTTTTGGAGGAGAGCAGGAGAGCAGGACATGTACCACCTCCTCAGCAGCTGCCAGAGCGGGATGCTCACGAGCCCACTACTGTCTCCCAACATTGGTGTTCCCCCCGTACCCAGAGATGAGGATCCACCCTGGGAGAGCCATTGTAGCAGCGGGAGCTGGGCCCAGCTGATGTTCCTGCCCCTCCTGAAAGGGTGCTCCCCGCAGACCATCCCATGCAGCAGGATGCCCAGGGTCCAGACGGTTGCTGCCTCGCCATGGTACCACCCGAAGTCGGTCCATTCCGGGGGGCTGTATGATGGTGTTCCTATGGAATATGGATGGAGCTCATCAGGGGGATGCTGCTGCTCCCAGAGTCTGACCCCATCAGCCCTGGGCATGTGGGGGCTGCCCCAGTGGGACATGGGTTGACCCGCAGCCCTCTCGCCAGCACCTAGGACTTGGGTACAAACCCAAGGTTTGAAAAGAAGCCACTGGGTATTGGAAGAGGGCAGTGGAAACCCTGGCAAGGCCCGACCATGACACACAAAGGGAAATACCCACTCAGTGCTGGGGAAAAATCATACCCACATCCTCCCTGCTGGCATTGCCCAATAAATATTTTGAACTAAGGCAAACGAGGGAAGCACAGCAGACCAAGCCCATTCTCACCTGCACACCAAATCAGCTGGTGCACAGGTTCTGGCTCCCCCTCTCTGCTTCCCCCTTCCATGGGGGATTTTGTCAGGCTGGCTGCCCCAGCCCCAGTCCTGGGAGAATCCCTGCTGCCACACCCTGGTTGGGCCAGGAGATATTGGGACCGGTGTGTGGGCTCACCTGCAAATTGAGTGTAGGCTGTCTCCTGCAGGTAGGTGCCACAGCCGAAGTCCGTCAACTTTGCCTGGCCAGTGTCCAGGTCAACCAGGATGTTCTCTGGTTTGATGTCTCGGTGCAGGACCCCGCAGCTGGTGCAGTGCCGCACGGCTTCCAGGACCTGCCGGAACAGCTCCCGCGCCTCTTCCTCAGACAGGAACCTATGTGCCCGAATCAAACGCTGCAGGTCCTGACACTGCTCTGGGCACTCCAGCACCATCACGATGTAGTTGGGGAGCTCAAACCATTCCAGCAGCTGCACCACACCAGGGAAGCCTGTGGACACCTTGTCCAGCAGCACTATCTCCAGTGGTGCGCTGGTGCCGTCGGGCTGCGGGAGGAGCACGGTGCCGTCAGTGGGGCTGAGGCCGTGCCAGGGCTTGGGAAGCTCTCAGCCAGCCCGGGATGCTCTGCACCCTCCACTGGCCCCATGCCCACTCTCCCTCCAGGTGTCCTAGCGGCTCCCACCCTTCCAGGCCCCAGCTCATCCCCGCCTGGCACTCCCCGGCT